TGAAGCAGCTATTCAGGGAGAGGGACAGAATCTTAGGACATGGGGAACACTGGAAATGGATGTTTCTCAGTCTAAAGGAGAACAGATTCACTAATGTAACAGGAGATGGCTTAGAGGGAAATCTTTTGGCAAGAGCATATATCACGATGTCAGAGGTGGGTTGGTAGCTTAGAAATGAAAAGGCAGATGCAAGTAAGGTTGTTCTAGGTGTCTTGGGGATTTTATAAATCCGCTAGCAGGCAGGAAGTACAGCTAGTAAATTCACTTCCTTAGAACAGCCTTTGCATTTCCAGTAATGCTTTCAGCCACTTAATGCCGTTATTGTTCTCGATATCAAGGAGATAAAGAAGATTTAACTCTTTTAAATCTTTAATCAAAGGGGTAGTTGAAATTATGCCATTCAGCCATTTGCAACATAGAAAATTAAAACATCCCCTCACCTGTTTTGACCTGTAAGCCAGACATATTGCTCCTTTCCTACAGATGGTTCCATCTAACAGTTTTTCCAAATAACTTGCACTGTTGTTTTTAACCCACCCTGTTCAATTCTGCATCCTCAACACACCCTAGAGCCATACCATCAGCACACAAAGGCGGTACCAAAGCGCTCTCAGGAGTGGGGACAAAGTTCCTGTTTTTGTTAATGTTGGATTTTGCGTTTTAAGTCACCTGACCTGGGGACAGATGATGTCTGATTTACTTGGCTGTAATCAATTTTACACGCAGTTTGTTTCACAAACTCAGATTTCTTATATCACTAATTCTCACACATCTAAAATAAGCGGCTCCTTTCTACATTACTCTGTGTGCCTCTTCTAATGGTGTGAGCTGACTCGCTACCTATTTGATATCTGCTTCTGTCTTCAGAGCGAAAAAAATGACTTTGATGAGAATCAAGAAGAAAACGCATCAGGAGACAAAGAGTCTTCAGACCTTAAGCAGAGATTAGTGCCGAAGGTTAATACTGAGCGAGGTAAATGCTTTTATGTGTTATTCCATCAATGGAAAGTGAGGGGAAGGGTTGTAAATTTGGTTATCTGACCTCTTCCTGAAGGTGACGAGTAACATCTAGGATCAGTATTTTTGGAAAAACTAGGTGAGAGAGAAAGTGATCCTGGATAACAGTCGAGCAGGATAGATTACTATTTCTCTTCGATGTTTAAGCCAGAGTCGTCTGAATTTAGTGATGTATTTCTAAGTTGAGCTTGAACTGCGGAGCTTGAGGAGTTCACAAACTACACATGGAAGTTTGCTGGTTCATCCCACCTCCCAATATTTTTCAGGTGCTAAGAGGCAGTCCACTCTACCGTTTAAGCCATTAAAGAAAATGAAGAAACGAAACCCTTGGTCTGACTCAGGGTCTGATTCAGAGTCTGATTTTGAAGCGCCTCCTCAAAGAGAGAGAGTGGTTCGCCAAGCAGCAGGTGAGTGACGACACAAATGCAGAAGAGGGGCAGTCTGTGGAGGAGAAAATTGAACAGACTATTTAGAGAGCTCCCAGAGCCTGAGATCTCGGTCAGAAATAATTTTTAAGAGTCTTCTTTATTTTACTGTATACAATAACTAAATATTTCTACCGTTTGAGCAGATTTTCACAATGCTTTTCAAGGAAAAGCAGAAATGGGCAACCAGAGAAATAAGGTTCTTGATTTTAATTACACAACTGTCTTGGCAAATCAAATGTGTTGTTGGTAAGCAAGCCCAGAATACACTTGTGATTTGGAGTCTTCCCACTGGCAGCCTCACTATCTGCTTGTTTTTATTCAGATCTTTTTTTTTTTAATAACTGCAGCTAAAATATTGAAAAAGAAACTGAGCTGCATATTGCCACATGTGTAAAATAATACATCTGTGTCATTTCATCAGCCAAAGTCAAGACCATAATCAGTTCGGACTCAGATGCAGATCTCTCCAGCTCAGATGAGGAGTCTGAATTTCGGGGCGACAGTGAAGGCAACACTGAATCGGATACAAACTTGAAAGAAAAACCTGCTCCCAAGCCCAGAGCTCCTCCAAAGTGAGTATTTCTCCGCATAGTCGCTGGAAATTAGTTGTGCTTCTAGTGTTAATGCTATATAGAAATCAATAGCTGTTTTTCTTCAATGCGCCTATTTAGCGCATCATGAGTTGAAAAAATACTTGGGGTTTTGTGTTCTAGGGAAACTACTGAAAAAGCAGCTAAAGCTCCCAAGCGAAAGCCAGTGCAAAGTGCTGTCCCTGGTGAGTACAAGACCTTCTAAACCTTGTTGATTTTCCTAAAACCCCACGAGAGTGCACTGGCCATTCTGACCAGCGCTTAACACTGGCAAAGGCAGACGTTAGTCACCAGATCTTGCAAAGAAACTTTGGTGCTAGGGTACAAGCTGGTTTCAGTGCACCAGACTTGTTGTCTGTTTCTAACTTGAATTTGTAATTAATCTAGCTTTAATAGTTGTTCTTTTTATAAAGGGGATCAAAATTATTTTCTTCTGCTCTAATGCTTATAGCCAGAGTAGACAATTTGACTATTTCAGACTTACTTTCTGCTTTCTTTATTCAGTTCAAGTCCAAGATGTTGCTAATGAAAATGTGAGGCAAGCTCCCACAGTTCCTCCTGTCTCTGTGCCTCACAGTAAGGCCGTATCTAAAAAACCTGCCGCAGCTAAGAAGGCCAGCGCCGCTAAGGGTAAGGCGAAGTTTAGTAAGATCATTTTTAGATAACAGTTACTATTCCTGTGGGAAACGAGTCCGAGTGATTTTGCTAGACATTTAGAGGCCTGAATAACTTGAGTTTTCATTTCAGAAAAGATCTGAGGTTTGTGGCAAAGGTTGCCTAGCTGTTGTCATTTTTAAAGAAGTTTGTTTCCAAACATATCATGTTCTAGTTCATCTCAGACATGCTTGAAGGGGGTGAATTTTAGTTTGGGAACAGGAAAAATGAATGCTTCCTACAGTGCTATGTAATACTTGGCAGAAATAATCCGAGTGGAATTTGTGTCTTGCAGTCAATGTTCTACTTCATGTCTTTTTGGGAAGAAAGCTACTTGGTAGCTTGCTTCCCAGGAAGAAGAAAAGCTTCTTTAGGGTAGCTTGATCTATTTAGTGCTAGCTTGACCTCATAAATCTACAGCATTTGACTCAAGTTTTTTTAAACTTAACTGCCCTGAGTCTTTGTGAAACTTTGAAAGCTGTTTTGCATATTCCATCACTAGCTGGTTTTGATCCCAGCAGTAAAGTACGTACGTTACTTCACAGAAACTTCACGTTTCTTCCTCTTCTAAATTGAGGAAGCCTATTATCATTCAGGACTGGCCTGCCCATTTCAGCTTAACTTGGAGACATGCTTCAAGATGCTGTTAAAAAAATGTCAAAATATAGGTAAGAACGAACTCCACAAGTAACTGTTTAGGATAGATGGTAAATTCATTCCCTCCCTGTGCAAAAGTTTCGAAGGTATAAGATTGGTTACACAGCCTTGAGAGTTCAAGACTTTTCAATCTGAAATAGTCTGTAAATTGCTTTGGGTACATTTTAATTTGATCCTCTAAATGTAGTAGAACTAAGCAGATAAACAACCTCATTTCTCATAATCTTGGTAAAGAGCAATCTTTCTAGAAAACCGTGCTTCAAAATGAGACGACCTGTGTGCTGACCTCGCAGCATAGTGCGGCGCCGTATTTGTGCTGGAAGTAATTCACAAACTGCGAAGGAGAAGAGAGGCAGCAAAACGAGGGTTTAAACGCAGAGTTCTGTTTCAGATAACCAGCCGTCCATCATGGATGTTCTAGCCAAGAAAAAGGCTGCACCCAAATCCGGCAAGACAGCGGTGAAGGAGGGATCCCTGGATTCTGAGGCTGGAGCAGCGGGTGACAAGCTTGACAAGACCAAGGGGCGGAAAGTTGTCAAAAGGCAGCCAAGCTCTTTGGATTCGGATTCGGATTCAGATTTTGGCTCGAAGCCTTCCAAATCAGTTGCAGCAAAGGTTTGTACTCCGCCGCCCGTTAGAGCCGAGGGGGTACCACAGCGTGTGGTGTCGGTTGTTCTGGCAGGAAAAGCGTGGCGAGCCGAGGCGGTACCACAGCGTGTGTTGTCGGTTGTTCTGGCAGGAAAAGCGTGGTAGAGGTAGAACCTCCTCTGCGACGCCCGGCGTTATTGCTGGGTGTGGGGAGGGTGGGTGGGAAGGGGGGGTCGGGCACGTGTACTTATCCCACATTGTTGGTTTGGTCTCATCAGTCCGAACAACCACCTTGCCCGTGACACAGTGGTACGTTTTGTGCTAATGGTGTTCCTTGTTTATGCTCAGATTCGTGATTCACTTCTTGACTATGCTTTCCCTCCAGAAAGCCAAGCCAGAAGACGATGATAGCTTTACTGTTGATTCAACTGCTCGTGCGGACAGCCCCATAGCAGCCGTGCCCCGTACCAGGCCTGGACGTCTCAAAAAGCCTGTCCGGTACTTGGAGGAGTCCGATGAAGACGATATGTTTTGAATTTGTATGAAGATTGTAAACTGCTGATCTAAAGAACATCTCAGACTAGGAAATCTTTTCACTGAATTTAAGCTAGTCCAAAAATGTTTGTTACAAGTGAATACATCTCTATTTTTCTTGGTTTTAAATAAGTTAGGTTTGTTTAAACAGGAACCCCCCTCCCTTCCTCATGAACGCTGGAGCCATGTGCCCAGCTAGCCCTGATGCACTTCCCTCTTACCCATTAGCTAGCTGGAATCTTTTGACACTTTGTGGTGATTTTAATGTTCGAGTAGACTTTAGAACATATCAAATCCTTTAAAATACCCTCTCGCGTAGGCATCTTCCACTTTAGGTATCTTAAAAGCTTATATATTTTATTATTTTTTAACTCCACAACCATAGAGTCGTAACATGTGAGGTGTAGGCATTTAGAACTCCATGCTGGTGTTTTTCTTCCTCTTTTGCAGTCCTTTATGTCAGCGCGGGCCCCTGTTGCTCAACCTCTGCCATGTTGAGTTTTAGCCTTTGGTTTTTTAAATTCGGATTTAGTCACGGAGGTTTGTGCAGACTTGTCTCCACACCGTGCTCGGTGTTGGCAGTTTTATCTTCTGTCTGGCTGCCAAGAAACCCCGTGTTCAGCTAGTTCAGCCCAGAGGTCGTCTTCAGGTAAGAGATGCTTGTGACTGCCAATGCCGCGTGCTGTTAAAGAGCTAAACGGGTGTCTCTGCGGTGCCAGCTGAGCGTGGCGGGCTCTTAGAGAGGACAGAGGCAGGACAGACATTCACCATCCAAGGATCTTTGATCTGCGGGAACTTGCAGGAAAGCCCGTTGGTTATCCCAGCGCACGCGTTGGAAAGCAGCAGGTTCCCCCGTGCTGAGCTGCTCTGCTGCCGTGCTTGGCACTAGGAAAGGCTGTCGTGCAGAGCGGCTGCTCGGCGGCGTGAAGCCTCTCCTGCCCCTTTGTTCCTGGGGACAAAGAGCTTCCCCTTAGCTTCTACACGCCCGGCTGCACGAAGGGCGCAGTCCCCTGCGAGGTGAGGCCTGTTTGTCACCTCGGTGCCACCGGGTGGTCAGACCTTCTCCTCAGCAGAAGCAGGGAGGCGTCATCTTCCCCTTCGAAGTACTTCCCTGCAGTATTTATCTAGTCGTGTTTTGCTTTTCGTAGAGCTATTTCTATAGCACCGAGGGATATTTCTTGACTGTCTATGTAAATATTTTCTGTGTTTTTTTGTCTTGTCCTGAGTTTCTGCCGTTTTTAATATTTATATAATAAAAGTGTTTTTACTTGAGCTTTCCTCAAAAAAAAAGGAGTTGTCCTCATCTGCCCGTTCCCTCAGTTCTCCCTTGCGCCGGCTCTCCGGGGCCACGGGTTGTCTTTGTTCGTGGTGAGTGCTTGAAGCTCGGACTTTCTCAGGAGCAAGAGGCCATCGGCTCCCACCCTCTGCTGCCAAGACTGGTCTAAATGGGTCATCTCCGTTGTCTAACCACCCTCGTTATTTCAGAGGTTATTTCCAGTGCTGATTTAGCTGATTTTGGCATTGTTATGGAAATTGACCATCGCAGAGCTTGTGCCAAGCCCTCTGCTATCGCAACGCGATGGCGGAGCAGAGGGCTTGGCACAAGCTCTGGTCCGGCTGTAGGGCTGGCGTAGACCGTCCCCGTGGCGTGGAGCCACGTAAAGAAGGCTGCACCCTATAGAAAGAGCTGTAGGAGCCTCGGGCTTCGCAGAGGTGGTCTGCTCAAATGGCGTCTCTTCTGCTTTCCCCCTCCCCGGTGCTTCGGCACTCGGCCAGGGGACTCCGGTGCCGTCAGCTGGAAGACCCCTGGGTCACCCCAAGCTGCCAAGCGCTGTGAAAGCCCCACGGGTGGGAGCGGGTCAGCAATTTGCTGCCCCCAAGCCCTGGACCCCGCCCCAGGCAATGCCTTGCAGCCAGCTCAGGTGCTGCCTGGACTGTTCCCCTGCCAGTTCCTCGCTGTGCTAACGCTGCGGCTTTGCAAAACCGCTGGCTGTGGACCCGCTACCTCGGCTCCGCAGCCCAGGTTTCCAAATTCCTGTGAACGCCCGCGTGGCAGCCGGTGTCTGCCCGCGCAGACCGTCTGGCCCAGGGGCTGCTGCCGCAGCCCG